TGGCTGAGACCAGTGAGCCCGGCTGAAGGGTGGGTGGGGGAGGCTGTTGGAGAGGTGGTGGGCCCACAGTGTAGGGCCTCATAGGCCATAGTAGGCAAGAGATCACTGGCCGGTGATAGGCTGATGGGAAATGGGGCACAGGTACACAAAGAAGCAGAACAATTTCCCTGGAATTTAGAAGAGTGTCTAGAACACAAATCCCTTGAGGAACAGAACAAGCCTCCCCACCTTCCCCCCAGGCCCTTTGTAACTTTCTGCAGTGCAAGACCACACCAGGCACCCCAGGGGAAGCTGGGGACAGAGGCTGACTTTGAATCATGATCTGATCCAGGTTCCACTTTGAAGGAGTCTTCTCCCTATTTGGTGATGAACATGCAGATCCAGGCAATTGTCAACTATCTTTAACCACATTCAGGAATCAGAAAGTAAGAATGGCTTGAAGCCTTCTCTCCTCACACCAACCATTTTCAAATGGCCCAAAAATCTTAACCACGCCTAGTAAAATATCAGAACTCAAGAATATCCTAGAGGCTGTAAGGAACTCATTCTAACTCACACAGATAAAACCATTTTACCAATTTAGTGGAAGATTTTTCAGAAGCTGGTGCTTTCTTAGGTTTTATTCTCTGAAGTGTAAACTTTACAGGTAGAGCACTTCTTTCAGATTGTGAGGAGGAAGGGGTGCAGGAGAGGGGCAAGGAGACAAGGGATGCTCTTAACAGGGTGGGTTGGAAGTCCTGACTGGTGTGTTTGGCTCAGGAGGGCCCTCTGGCCAGCTCCACAGACAGGTCTGGTTTTAAAAAGTGCCGGAGAGCCACGGATTTGCATGTTATTTGCGTTCCAGGCTTCAATTCCAGGTATGTGGAATGAAGTGAATGAATGAACAGTATTCAGACTCCTGGTTAAGGGGTGGACTCAGGAATCCAGACCACATTGAGGATCCAATCACTGGTCCCACTTGGATCAGGAGACACAGACAGAGAGACAGAATAAACAGTCAAAGAGACAGAGAGACAGTCTTAGAGAGACAAACACCACCAAGTCCTTTTTTACCAGGGAGTTTCCAGTCAAAGCAAGAAAGCAAAATCCACAGAATTTATTTTAAATAAATCAACCTTTAAGAAGTAGAGGGAGAGTCACATATAGGTAGATAAATGCAACACTATCCCTGACTTATCTCCACCTCTGTCCTTCCATCCATCCACATCCAGCTTCAAACTGGACTGTGTGCCTACGAGGTGGCCTTCTTGATTAGGTCCATTGTTTGGTGTCTGCCTAGCCTCCAAACTAGATAGACTCTAGACTCTACGGTCTTTGAGGACAGGTGGCTTCTGTTTCCTTGGTCAAACCAAGCCTTCATGCCACCCTCCAGGGCTCCCAAGTCCAGTGCTTATTAAATGCTTATTAAAGACCCAGTGTAAGGGGTTGCCCTGAATATCAGATGAGGCAAACGCCCTCCCGGAACTTAACTCTGGCTAACAGACAAGACATAGACAAGCAGCATGTAAAATGGCCCACTTAAAGGGCAAGGCAGAAAGAAAGGGACTCACAGTCTCAATCTACAAGGGATGTATAACATCACTGGAAATAAAAAAGATGGAGAAGACCAGAAAGATATGTGGTTAAAAAAAATTACTTTGATTAGCCCCTTGGGACAGAGACTGCGACCCCACAAGGGGAGGCTAACCTGCCAAGGAAGATGTGTAAGGGCAGAGTGGGACTTTAGATGTTGGACCAAAGATGACCTGTTCGAGACCACAAAAGAGGTGCAGCCCCACTGTAGGTTGCCATAGGCAGCCCTCCTTCTTTGACCTTCAAAATGCTGTCTGAATCAATGTTTAATGCAATTACCCCCTATTTCTCTTTGGCCAACCAAAGAAGCAGCTCACACTCCTGGCTTGAAGGTGCCAAACCATTCACCTGCTCTCTGTGGCAATGGGTCTCAGTCCATTCCTGGTGTAAAAGACAGATTACAGGGGTGCCTGGGTGGCTCAGTTGGTTCGGCGTCCGACTTCAGTTCAGGTCATGATCTCATGGTCTGTGAGTTCGAAACCCGCATTGGGCCCTGTGCTGACAGCTCAGAGCCTGGAGCCTGCTTTGGATCCTGTGTCTCCCTCTCCCTCTGCCCCTCCCCTGCTCATGTTTGCTCTCTCTCTCACACAAAAATAAACATTAAAAAATTTTTAAAAACAGATTACAATACAAATACTATGTGGAGTTACATCATTTTCTGATTATAAGGGCTGCAGCTGTCTAGTAAGAGATTATAAGATAACGTGATCAAGGAAGGCTTCAGGTAGATGGGGATTTGGGGGTGTGTGCTCTATAGGTACTTGTGAAAGGAACACAGGAGTAAACTGAACGAGGGTGCCCAGCAGACTGAAGACTCTGGGCTCCTTGTGCCTCTCTCTCGCAAACTTTCCCTTCCAGACACTCCTGTTCCGCAGAGTGGAAGGACATTCTCCAGGAGTCAGCTGATGGCTACTCGCCGGCTGAGAATGGAGAAAAGGCAACAGCTATGATCTGTCCCATTAGGATAAGCCTCTGACCTGGGCCTTATTATGACCAAGCCATATTCATACTGGCCTTCAACTTTGAGTCTCTATCTTGATTGAATTCTATTCCAAGCAGGATTATGGCCCTCAACATTTCAGAATCTTAGACTTTGACAAGAACCTAGATATTTGGTCCAACCACTCATAATTAGAATTATCCCTACTCTATCCCTCATAGACCAGAGAGGCAGCCTGCAGTAACATTATTGTAAGGTTTCTTTTTTTTTTTTTAATTTTTTAATGTTTTATTTATTTCTAGGAGAGAGAGAGAGCGTGAGCAGGGGAGGGTCAGAGAGAGGGAGATACAGACTCTGAAACAGGCTCCAGGCTCTGAGCTGGCAGTCAGCACAGAGCCCGACGCGGGGCTCGACCCCACGAACCGCGAGATCATGACCTAAGCGAAAGTCGGACGCTTAACCGACTAAGCCACCCAGGCGCCCCTGTAAGGTTTATTTTCTGTCTCAAAGTCTTCTTGTTTTTTCTATCCCACAGGGGATTCATGTGTAGATGACCAGCATGACCCCACATGCCCTTATGTCCCTCATCTCCAAAGCTGGGAATGGTAGTCATGGGCTCTTAACAGATGTTAGGACGCAGCACAGGTGAAATAGGCCCTAGGATGTAAGGAAAGATGCTGGCTGTCTTGTCTTGTCCCTTCCAAAATCTTAGGATGAATTTGAAGTTATGGGTAGGTTCCTCCTGGGCAGGAAATATGGCAACTTCCTCAGGAGCACGGCATATAGCCTGTTTGAGTCACCAATAGGGCCTGAGTCTATACTCCACCTCATCCTGCCCCATCCAGGTGGAACAAGGGAGAAGACAAAGTCCAAGTGTCACTTATCTCTCTCTCTTACTCTGGCAAGACATACTTGAGAGCTGGGAGGATGGCATAGGAGAATGACCAGAAGCTGAAACGTTAAAAACACTGGTGCTCTTAAGTGAACCCTCTCCTTCTCCTCTAGGCCTTTTATAAGGCATGTGAAACCAGGTGGACAGACTATGGGATGGGGTTGCTGGCAGTGCTTTTTCAGGTTACCTGTGTCTGCCCCAGGACACTAAAACTTAGGGCTAGCTAGGGGCAGTAGGTAGAAGATGCTGCCACAATTACACAATTATAGCATCTAAAGAAAAGTGGATATCACAGAGATGTATGAAGCATTTCATATACAGTGGAGTCAATTTACACACAGCTCCATGATGGGGAGGAAGAAGGAAAAGAACTCTTAACATTCAACCTCAAATAGGACTCCTAGGAGCAATAATGGGTCCTAGGCAACAAATGGGACAGAACTAACCTCCATGATGTGGACCATGTATTCTCAAATGTTCTGACTTTCTCTGTACAGGGTCCAGGAGTGATTGTTGGGACTGTGGTTTCTATTGAAGGCTCTATATCTAGATAGAGTTAATCATCTCTTGAGTGTTCCTTTTTAAGGGTAGGTAGGTCACTACGAGCACTGATCACAGAGAAGAATGGAAGACAGAAGAAAAAGAAAGCAATAGGCTTTAGTTTAAAGCAATTTAAGTAAGATATTGGTAGCATGCCCTTGGCTATGGAATGCAGGAACCTTTTTTTCTCTTCTGGTCATCAAAACCCACCCTTAAATAAATGAGAAACTAAGTTTCCAGATGTTAGTCCTGATTTTGTGGGCTAGCTCTCTGGAAACATGGCCCACTACAGAAGTCAAATATAGACCTAAATGTAGTCAAATGGGTAGTTCCCATTGAACCACCCTGGGCCACAACCTATGTCTCAGCTTGGTTCACCCATATAGGGTGGTCTCAGGATCACTAACTTCCCCTTGTACAAAAATGCATTGGTCAGAAAGGGGGTCCACGTTCAGACAGGCTTAACGATTCCTTATATATTTTTCAAAGTGCTTTTGTTGCATGTTTCATTTTCTGTTATACATGTCAATAAATATTTGTTGCTTTGGTCTGTACAAAAAGTCTGTGAGGAAGGTAAGACAGATGTTATCTAAATGGACAAACAATAAATACAGAGAACTATCTTGTTCTGAGTCCCCCAGACAATAGCAAGAGCACCTGAAAAACTCAGGTCTTTTGATTCATAATCCGAATCTATACCATATTGCCACCTTTCAAGTTGCCGCTGAAATACATTAAGTACCAAGAATCCATGTACAGGAGTCCTACAATGAGCCTGCATGCCATAGCTTTCTAACAGAGAATGTGAAAGGTCTCAGCAACTCATAAATAGAAAGCTATTTATTTCCTATAGAAAAACTCAGGAAGGAAGGAAGGAAGGAAGGAAGGAAGGAAGGAAGGAAGGAAGGAAGGAAGGAAGGAAAGAGGGGAGGGGAGGGGAGGGGAGGGGAGG